GAAGAAGGAAGAAGGAAGAAGGAAGAAGGAAGAAGGAAGAAGGAAGATTGCAAGAGTATTGAAGGGTTCAAAAATTGAGATTTGTTTTGATGTGAAAAGCTGGTGTGACAGCGTAGGACAATTTATTTGGACAATACGGTAGTACGTGAAAGAGCTGAACCATGTACAAGAGAAAATAATTCATGAACCTTGTGCATGGAACTTCAGTAGAATGATTGGACACGTTTCATAGTTGGATGATCAAAGACTATCTCATACAGAGTTTGCCTAGACCAAGTCAGTGCTACATAGTTGATGTAGATAGGCAAGTTTCACGGAAATGATCCCGCAAAATTTGAGGCGGGGTGTCGAGCGTTTTGTGGGGTACACATGGATCTATCAATGCGCAGTTTGGTAGTTGAAAACTACACCATGTACTGCGTAGCGCTTCAGGCTCAAAAGGCCGCATCGGTTTGTCAGGTGAGGATGAGGAATGCAACGAAGATAATGTTGAAAATGATGAGGATGAGGATGATGATGGTGGTGATAGTAGCGATGATGATCACAATGGTGCCAATGCGAAGCCTTGTGGGGATCACCAATCATCCCGCTCCCCAGCGACACGCCGCGTTAACACCAGCGTGTTTTCCTTCCCCCAATGGCACGGAGCTACGCAAACGCACTTTCCACCGAGGCCGCGCAAAACCGCGTGGCAAAGCGGCATCACAAACGTAGTTTCGCCACACGGTGTGCCACAGACCAAAAAGGATACAACAATGTAACACCAAGCCTCGCGCACGGCCAATTATCCCGCTCCCCAGCCACACGCGGCATTTACACCAGCATGATTTCCAACAAAGTTGCCACAGCCCCGAGCAGCAGCTGCCAGTTCTATAGCCACAGTTCGCAAACCTGTTTCTCGTACTACATGTGCGGTGCCAAGTGCCCACTTTTGAGGCGTTGTCGACGACAGATACACACTTTGACCTCGTCCACCTTCGTTCTCGACGACGGTTACACACTTTGGCAACCTCCACGGTCGTTGTCAACGACAGGTACGCACCACCGTCGCTTTCGATGACAGTTACTTGCTTTGGCAACGCCCACCTTCGCTGTCAACGACAGTTACACATTTTGGCAAAAAACAATTGATCCACCACCACACTTCGCCAGACAGTATGCTGTATGTATCCAGCGTCTGCTCTTTTGGCTGCTTCGCCCTCAACCCTCCTTCTTCGAACCCTTTTTGAAACCTGAGGAACCCAACATACAGGAGCAGTAAAAACTGAAGTGCAGCAATGTCCGAAACAAATTTCCCTCAACCATGACTTGTTCAAACCAAAAATCACAAGCACCACAGGCCAGGTTTGGGTCAAGCAAACTTGCGAGTGGAGTAGCGTTCTGAGGAACTTTACTTTTCGCTTACGAAGGGCGCATGAGCATCAGGCTCAGAATCACTAAGCAGAAAACAATTGAAGATCGAAACCTTCAGGTGAAACCAAATGCAACCCGCCACATCCTAGCGCCCCACGGAAACCAGGTGAAACAAACCAGTGAAGCCAGAGACACCTTGCAACCTGGTTTCCACAGCCACGCGCGTGCAAACTCAATAAGGAGCAGACATAAGCGTGCGCAAAAGAGAGGAATAAAATGAAGGCGGAAAAGACATGGCAACAAGTACGGACAAACCCTGACGGTGTGGCGGATATGTGTAGAGGCTTTAGAGCCCCGATCTCGAGGGTTGAAGGAGGAGGGTTAGGCCCCAAGAAATAGCTGTGGAGTCCAGAGTCCGAGGCATCAAAGGCAAACCCTTCACCTTTTGGACTCTTATCTCATGCAATGGTTTGTGTGACGAATTAATAAATGATTGCATTCATTCGACGGAAAAACTTTATTCGGCTTGAATTCCTTTGTGCCAGGCAACTGGAAAGGGCTGGTAGCGTGTGCGCTCCAGTCGACAAGTTTCTCCAAACAATTTATTTCACCGCATCTCTCAGCTTCACCTTTAGTCTACCACAACAACTCTCCTGGCTGCAATGGCAAGGCTCTCCTTTTCCAAGTGTGATTGAAACCAAAAGTGGCATTGCAAAAATGGTGATTTTTCGACGACCAACCCATGTACCTCCCTGTTGCACCGGTTCACGTGCTGGAGCTGGCGTGCCGCAAGTCGCTGCAAAGAGTGTGACTGGAATCACTTCTGGAGTTGATTGCGTTCCAGCTTCTAGCGACACCCTCCACAGCCCAAGCAGTCCTACACCCAAGGCTGTGCGAGCTGTTAAGGGTTACAAATACACGCGCGCGCGCGCGCAAAAAGAACAAGTGAAAGGACATGAAGGACATGAAGGAAGGACATTGGAAAGTGCGCGATGCAGGTGGGGGTGATCAAAAGGAAACCAAATGACCGGGGACAACCGATGAACCAGACCGCCTTGTACCGAGGACTTGGGGTGCCTAAAAGCGTAGATTCGCAGTGCAAGTGCACATACACATTGAGGTCGGTACCAATGTGTACGCAAAAGAGTAAGACGGATGAAATGAAAGGACCCGAATGACGGGGAAACCACATGAGAGGGACAATCAAGACAAGAAGAGCCTGGGCGAAGTACTGGTTTAGTATGTAAGGCACGGAGTCCTGCTCTTGCTTGCACGGAACGACTTCACTCCCAGTTTGGCTGGATCCACGGAGGGCACTACATCCGGCTCACTCCGCGAGGAGAGACACACTCAGGATAAGAGTTCGTGTGAGGCCGCCACATGCTCAGAAGAAACCTGAGTGAAATGAAGTGAGTGAACGGCTCGGGACGAACGAAGATGTTCGGCTCCATTGAAGACAAAGGTGCTACTAGTAACAAGTGCCACGCTAGTAGTAACAGGTGCCTTACTAGTAGTAACAAGAAGCTACTAGGAACAAGTGCCTTACTACTAGTAACAATAAAGGTGCCTTCAAGTGCCCCAAAATACAGGACTTACTCCAGTCATGGACACAGTTGAGATGGACACTGGCTCAGACGGTTCGATTCACTCGTTATCTTTGAACGCTCTGAACCATGCAGTGTCTAAAAACCAAAGGAAGTCTTCATCTTCAGAACCAGGTGTTTGCAACACTTTGCAACCCAAACGTCGCCCCAAAACTTGTAAGGCGAGTCGTTCACAAGAGGCGTATATATTGAGCAACAGCCTTACATAATGGCTGGTTGTGTTCCGCATTTGGTGTCGCTCCAGCGCGGGAGCGACACCGCAGGTACAGAAGTTTGCGTCCAACCGTCACCCCGCCTGCGGATTTGACTTGGAAATCAATAGACCCTCCTATGATTCCATGGGCTTGTGGACCTCCGGGACCTCCCGTCTCTTTGCCATCCAAATCAAGCCCTGAAGAAAACAACGGACGTGTGTTAAGGCCCTGCTTTGAGCTGAGGGCACTACTTCAGCTCGCTTAGGGGAGCACACCTTCCTGACTGTTTGCCTGATCGGAATCAACCGCTGGCTAGCGGCCTTTGAGTGGAGCAAGGTTGGTCACAGCAAAACGGTGGGTGAATGTTGCCGGTGCTCAGGAACTACAGCAGTTATTTGTTTGCATGGGTTTCAACATCAGCGACCCCACAAAGAATGGATTTGGGTGGAATGAAGATCCGGTTTGGGCTCACTTTGAGGACCCAAACGTTTGAGAAGGTTCTGTGTTTTGCACTTCAAAGTGGGCTCACAGCACGTCAGGAACTTCCACAAGGAGACACAGTAGAGACACAGCAGGAACAACTTTGTTTGACATTTGCAAAGTTGTTTCTGATTTCCAATTTGCAATAGTTGAATGCAACAATTCTGATCAAACTTTAGTTTCTGCCGTCCTTGTCAAGTTTCAACTCATCTGGTAAAACTGTGATCCAAAACAACCCCAGGCCGAGGTTGATTTGACCGAAGTTGCCAGCCATTTTCTGCATGGCACCGAAGAAACGCGATGCAAAGCCCGCTTCCCAACCAGCCACTCTTTTTTGGTTGCATGATGGAAAGAAGCAGCCGTTTTTTGCGGATGTTCTTGTCTTTTTGCTGATCCGAGTTGGATTTCCAGGCCAGAAAAAGCTGAGCAAAGCACTGAAGGCGTAAATGGGTAAACATTTGATGGTTGTGTTCCTTGGCGAAATGCTGACTGATTGAAACACTTCCGTGACAGGCGCCCCATCGAAGCGCTTCCGCTTCAACGTCTTGACTTCAGAAACATGTTTTTGTTTCACAGGCGGAGCAAAACATTTGTTTCTGTAAAGCACAGGCGAAGGGTTCTGCCTCCGCAATTGACCTTGAGGAAGTGCGCATCCCAGATCGCCAACTTGAGAAGGTTAGAATTCAACATCAGCTTTCCGGACGAGTCTTTTTATTGATGCAGGAACCTCCTCGCAGTCAGGCAGGCGGTTTTTGTTGCGAACGGTGTTTCCCTCTGGTTCACGTTGGCAGCTGAAAAACAGTGTTTTTCCAGGCCAAATCCTCTGCCAAGTGGGGCCCTTGGACGGTGGAAGAAAGCCGCGACGGTTCCACGACCTGGGACGGCCGGGTGACGGAGACACGACCAGGTCCGCCGGAGCGAAGGCGCTGCCAAAGGAACTCCCCAAGGTTGGACACGAAGGGTGAGAAGCGATAGACACGGAGAGTTTTGATGTGCCTTTTTTCAACAGCTCAAGGGTTCTTGCCACCGAGAGCTGAAGCAAGCAGACACATGCTGCTGTCCAGCAGCCACACTTTCAGCCATCATTGAACAACTGATCAAGAGCTTCGAACCTAAAATCAGGGCCATTCACGAGAAGTGACTGTCGAGTTGTTCTCAGGGTACCAGAGGTCCTTCTAAAACGGCAGGGGGAATTGGAAAGCAGGATGCGTTGTGAAGGCCTGTTTATATATGTTTCTCTTTTTTTTGGGCGGGCAGATCTCGAAAGCCCCTTTGCAGAGCAGTGAGATCGTCAGTTCGTGGGCGAACTGCCATGGTACGATGCCTGGGAGCTTGAAACTATGGGCGACGCCTTTCCAGCCTTTGCCTCCGCCTCTCACTGGCCGATCTGGAATCCTGCACCGAAATGGCTTGCCTTTGCAGGTTGGGTGGCTGCAGGATTGCTGGCAGCATTGGCGCTGGCTGCGGCCCTCGTGCTCTTCGTGCGACGACGCCACCGGAGCTCGCAAGCTCGTGCCGCTCGAGCGCTGCTAGGAGGAGGCACTCCCGAGCAAACTCCGCCGCCCAGCTGTGCCACCAGCATTTCAACGGACTTGTCCGGTCGCCCAGTAGAGCAACCAGCTTTAGTGTGGAGCCCAAAGGTTCCTTGTGTGGTCAGGGCATTGTACCCGATCTTCACGGCAATTTGCTTCGCATTCTACATTTGGGCTGACTTGTCAGTTGCAGCACAAGTGAATGCAAATGTGCGAGTCAATGGTGCGCCAAGTGGCAAGTGGGAGTGGTCAGGAATTATGGCCTCGTTGACCCTGGTTCCAGCTGCAAAAGATGCATGGGACAGTGGTGCTCGAGCAACAGCTATTTTGTTGGGCTTCTTGAATGGACTTTGGCCATTTCTGCAGACCCTCGTGCTTTTGCCGCTTGGCATTCGGTCAAACCGAACCAACCAAACAAGACTTTTTAGGTCTTGGTCAAAACCCAAACACTCCAAACACTGCTAGCTAGACAAACAGTGCTTGGTTGATCAAGCAGGCCAGGTGTTTTGACCGGCAAGGTCCACATGATCTCACTGGAAGGCCTTTGTTTTGTTTGCACTGGTCGATTTTTTCTGAACGGAGGATCGTCTGGTTCTTGCCGGGATGGTGCCTTTCCCTTGCGGCCAGAGGCTTGCATTGCATACTAGTTGCCTTTACATGCTTCAGGGTTGGGCAGCATTTCTGAGAAGAAGAGGGATGTCATTTGGATGATGGCTTGTGAACATTTTGGTCAGGTTGGTTCTTACGATTGTTTGCAGCCTTTGGGAAATCTGGTGCCCCGGTCGCAAGTGATGGAACCAATATGAACCAATGTGCGCAGTCGATGAGGTCTCTCTTTTCCATGCCTCGTGGCCCTGTGGGCAGCTGTGTGCCAGCTACACTGGAGGGGCCATCAGGTCGGGCGCGGCCCCGAAACCGACCCGTCCGTCCTTCGAGCGACGTCGCGCGACGCCCGCGGCGACCGACCCGGAAGCGCCGGGAACCCCCGAGGTGTCCGCGGACTTCAGCATGTCGTTCGCGCCCCGCTCAGAGACACGAACCGCTCAGGGAGGCGACACCAAAACCGCAGCGCGGGGGTGGGTTTCTTTGATCTGTGGACGGGGGCCTCTAGAGGCCACCTGTTTGTTCCGATCAGGAAAGAGGGCTCATTGAGTTTCTGATTGCGGCCATTTTTACCAATACGATGGGGTGCCAAGCCCTGCTGTCAGACGTTGAACGTTGTTGCATGATGGATGTGAGCGACGTCCAGGTACTTGGCAGATCACTATCACTTTGTGAGTGTGAAGGCCTCTTCATCACCATCCTGGATGAGGAACGCTAATTCGCCAAGGCCGCGAGTTCATGTGAGTCTCCCAGGTGATCCTTTCTGAAGTGATGTTGCAGGTACAGGTTTGCCCTGTCTTCCTTCTCAAAGACTCGTCTGCAGCTCGATTTTATTTCTACATTTACGTGAATACGAACTTGCCTAGGGCATTGGCCTACAGTGCTCTGTCCACTGGTTGCAGCCATTCTCTCAGTGTCGCTGCGCATGCATTTCTTTCTTTTTTGCTCTCTGCCAGCCCTGCTTGAAGTTGTCAGGTTGCTACAGCGGCCTCTTCTTTTGTCACCGCGTTTGCAGCCTCAGAGTGGAAGCCGCACATGTGGAAGCAACATGTGGAAACTGCCACAGACACCAACTTTGTTTGAGCTGAGCTTGAGCGAGGTTTTCTTTGTCAGTCACAGGCTGGTCGTGCAAACCAATGGGTGTTTGTGCATGGTGTCTGAGCAGCCTGCACCAGGGGCCTCCACACCGGTGGAGCAGGCGGCGACACACACACACACACATGACACACAGCTCTTTCTTGGAGCCTTGTTTTGTTGTCTCTTCTTGTGAGAACCCACTAACTCACTAACCTTTCATCCGTGTGGGAGGATGAGCTGCGCCAATTCAGTCTTTTTTCCTTTGGGATGCAGGCCGGGATGTCGGTGTGATTGCTTGTTTTGTGTCTGCTGCTCCTAGCTTCCATCGACAGAGTCGGTGGGCTGAGTCTTTCTCGCGCCCAGCTTTCTGAGCTACATCGAGAAACAAGCGTTTGGGAGAGGTGCGGGGCGAGCGCACGGCTCAAAGCTGGGGCGTTTGGGTGATGAATTCGGTGACGCATTCGCTGCCTTCGTTGTGAAGACGTGTAGAATTCGTAACGCGGTACATTACACAGGTCATCACAGGCCAGGTTGGAGGCCATCGCGGTTGGAGGGCGCTTGCTAGTAGGTTGGAGGCCATCGCTAGTAATTATAGGTTATAGGTTGTTGGTCACTATTCACAAAGTCCTTGATTATGTTCAGTTTTGGTCTCACCGCGAAGGACTTTCCAGGTTGTCTTCTTGGCAACTTCGGTGGCAATTCCACTGCTGCTTACAGGTGTGCTGCCATGTCTTGTGAAACAACTTGTGGAAGGAAAACGATGGAACACGTCTGTGATTCATGTCTGCAGTCTTCTCTATGCCACTTTTTTTTCTTGGCGGACCAGGTGTGCTCCTGACGGTCGCGCGTCGGCAGCATTGTTTGTATGAGACCCGTAGTGACAGCGAATCGCTGTGACTTTTGTAAAACTGAGGTTTGGGTATTGCCTCTCCAACCCAAGACCCAGAATAGGCTACTGGAGCAGCTCGGTTCGAAGCGTTACTTCTCTGAAAGTCTCTGATGTTCTCATCTCCTTCAAGAAGGAACTGTTTCCTTCGGTCTCTGATGTTTCTGGTGCATTTCTTTGCCCTCGGTGAGTTTCCAGCTACACTTGTACCCTTGTTTGTGTGAAAAGCCCAGCAATGGCAGCAGTGAACAATGGCATGTTTCTGCTGAGACTGGGGCATGCCTTGGATGCGTGGGTGGCACTGGATGCATCCTGGCGTAGCAAGGGATGTTTTGGACTGGCTGGCTTAGTCTGTGCGCAGAGAACGAACTGCTTAGGTCTTTGTCATTGTAGTTGCTATTTGCAGCTTGGACTTTGGGCGAATGACCTCGTACCTTGGCAACACAATTGCAGGTGAATGCGATCCCCATTGTAGTAGTTGAAGTTGATGCTTGTGTTCGCTTGTGGTTCCTGGTGCTCTACTTTGTGCTGTTTCCTGTTTGTCGGCGGAAGTGGAGCCAAACACTGTTGGGCTCCTTTTCCGCCAAAGTAACACAAGCTTGCCGCTCTTGAACTTTGGATCAAGTGAAGATTGTTGGCTGGTTGATATGCAAGGTTATGCACCCTTTTGGTTTCAATATGTTTGAGCCATTCTCAAGAGCTTTGTTCGCGAAGTGGCCTTGAAGAGATTAATGATGAGTCATGTTTTGAGGTGGTGGGACGATTTTAGCCCGTGAAGTTGTCCCGCTCCACGCTTTGTTTGTTTTGAAATTATATATATACACACAGTGGATGTGGACAGTGTGGACGTCGTTCTTTGTTTGTTCCGGTCTCTCGTCTGGTCGTCATGGCTCATGATCGGGCTTTGTCTCACCCGTTGGGTCTCACGGAGGTTTGCTGCCCACCAGGGCCCCATGCGTGAAGCATGCGAGCTGATGAAGAGGCGGGGATCCGCTGCGGTGATTCGGTGATCAGCCAAGTGCATGGGTGATCATGGTAGGTTCTACCGTAGGTTGAGTGATTTTCCATGTGGAATTTGCGGAGAACTCTTGCCTTTCGTGGTGATTCATGGGCGAGCACTTGACTCTTGTCCGTCGGGCCAGGGAGCTTTCGGAAACCATATGCGTGAGGGCAGACGTGAAGCTCGAGAAAGGCTCCAGGGCCTTTGTGAAGCATGTTTTGACTACTGTAAATCATCCTGTGCTAGTACAGAGTTGTCGAGCTTGCCTTTCCTTGCTCTTTCAATTTCCCCTAGGGTCTCACGGGGGTTTGGGGTTGACTGCAACAAGTTTGTTGATATCACGGGTCTGCTTCATCTTGCGTCTCCCATGAATCTGCTACAGGTTTCGTGATGCTGGCCGCTGCCGCTGCTGCTACACTTCTGGTGCCCAAGGTGTGGTTTGATGAAAAGGCATGAAGGCCAAGTGGCTTAGAGTCCTGTGCAAGTCCCTTTGTTGCCTCTACAACATCGTCCAGCATATTCCGATTGTTTGTTGTGCGAGCTCTTTTCTGCCTATCTTCCCTCTTCAGCTTCAGGTGGTACTTCGAGCTTGTCGCCAAGCAATTATGGACAGGGACCAGGTGGCCGGAACGAAACCAAAAGATTGGCGACGGTGATGACGGGTTTTCGTTTGAAGCAGAGACATTCCCTGCAGTAATGTAGCAATTTGACTGGTAGATTGATTGGATTGGATTCAGGACCATGACCAACATTAGTGGTTCGATGGTGGCTTGTGAGCATCCTCCAAAATCAATGCCGACTCGTGCATTTAGCGACTCGTCTCCGCTCTTCTGCACGTGGTCCATCGGTCTTTACTGACCTTCGCCACTGAACGCCAGGCGAACGGCCGCTCCTGGGCCTCCTCCGCGTTGGCCGCCCATTGACCTCGCCCTACTAGCTTCTTGCTCCGTTCGTAGCAAGGCCAGGAGCCCCTGGTGGCGTCCTCTTGCTCCGTTCGTAGCCACCTTTTGGATCCTTTTGGACGGTTCCCATAGGGTGGAGCTCCGGCCGTCGGCTTCGCCTTTCGGCAGGTCGTTGGAGTTCTCGCTTGGTCCATGGATGCTTGGTCCGTGGATGCGGGAAGCACCCAATGATGCGGAGAGCCACCGCGCCGAAAAAGGGGTGCTCGAAGACGACCGGTCGCGGTGCGAAACGCATGTTGGGATGGCGGACCTTGTTTTGCAGGTTTCCAGTGCGACACGATGCCAAACCGTGGGTTTCGCCACGAATCGCCAGGTCAACGATGCCAAACCGGGACTTCCTTTGGAAGGTGGTCAATTTCACAGCGATGAGGGGGTGCCTGGTGATTCTTCCTTTGGACTCATCTCTGGTCTTTTCGGTCCAACCGTTTCGATGCAACCGGTGGCCGGCTGCCGGACGCCAGGGGACGCGCGCGCGCCGGGGAGGCATTACCATGGTCTTCACCGGTGAGATGGACCAGATGTCCCGAGCCGACGCCGAGGAGAAAGCCAAGGCGGCCGGTGCCAAGGCGAGCCGGACGACGGCAGACGACCCGAGGACGACGGAAGAAGGCGGAGACCGGCCTCTTTCCGATGGTTCTGAGACCTCATCGTTTGGATTGCAAAGATTGAGAGGAAAAAGAAGTGAGAGAAGGTGCCTGCCTGCCAAATAAGTCTGATTGAACATCGAAAGAGCGCGTCTCAGGTCTTGTCCGCCGTCTCCGGAAATGTGCAGTTCTTGGTCGCACGCTCCTCAATGATTTGCTTGGCATTTGGCTACCAGAATTTTCTCCAGTTTTGAGTGTATCTCTGGGATTTTGCAGAGTCTTGAGGCCTCAAAAAGAATTCGCATTGGTCTTTGGATCCCTTTTCTAAGGCGTTTCTGTTCTTTCTGTTCTTTCGGTCCAGGTCGGCACCCGCTTGGACGATGGCCGCTCCGTGGAGGAGACCGGGAAGTGCGGCCGCTCGCTCGCCCGTTCTTCCTGGGTTCCGGTACGAAGCGTCCTCTCTTCGCGCGAGGTACCGGAAGATGTTGGAATTGAAGGAAAAAGGCAAGAAACATCCCACGGTCATGACCGAGGCAGGAAGACTCGAGAAGAGGTCCGTCTCTATGCTTTAGACACAGGTTACCCAAACACTTTTGACTTCTTTTCCCCAGTCGGTTTTGCGGAGGTCACAGGCTATCACAGGCTACAGGAGTTATTGTGTTTTTTTCTTTTTTTAAGATATCAGCAGTGCCTCCCACAGTCTTTTCGCTCCCACAGTCGATCAGGGAGAGTTCTTGGAGAGACTTCCAGATGCTGCTGCAGCAGCAGTCCCCAGGCGTGAACAGATGATGCGCAGTCCCGATCCCTCCGTCTTGCCCCCCCCAAATCAAGGGGATCACAACCCACTCCGGAAGATGGGGAGGCCCTTTGGGTGTGTGTGAGTCTGCAATACTGGAGACTCACACCCTTCTATTCAGTGGTGGACTCTAGTGGAATTTGAGGTGCTTTGTGGAAGTCCTTTTTTTGCAGACACCTGTGTGAGAGCAGGTTGCCCATTCCAAGCACAGTCACTGCTCCGGCTGGCCATGTCCACAGATGCATGCTGAGCAGGTTGCCATGTCCACCTCTCTTCCGTCGACTTCGTCTTTCACGATCGACACCTGAGGCCCCTCTTATCAGAGCTGGGTCGACCGGTGGGCTCCAAAGAGCTTTGGAGATCTCATCGGCAACGCTGGTGTCATCAAGTTGGGCTCCTAACAGACATGCTGTTATGGGGTTGCTTCGGTTGCTCATTCTTGAGCCACTCGGATTGACTCCACAGAAAGGACTGGACTCTGGACCAGTGTGACTCTAGGCACAACTAATCACCTGAAGAATGTTTGCTGCTTTCGTCCTACCTATGCAAGATTGAACACGCCTTCCTTTCTAGGTGCTTTGTTCCTTCTTCCCAATCGGTTGCTTTGAGTGGAACTTCCGACAGGAAGCTGACGGAATGGCTGAGAGATTGGGATGACGCGCCTTGACAAGGTTTCAAGAGACATTGATGGACATAGGATCTACAGTGGGTTTCGAGCTTTGGATTTGTGATTTGATCAGTCAGTCCAAGGTCGTTTTCAAGGGCAAAGTCAAAAAGGCAGCCTTCAAACCAGGTGGTGGAATGCCTGAGGTGCCTCAGAAAAGCACACACTTTTTGAGAGAAGAGAGTGAGACGTGGAGGACAAACATTGCACGCAGTTCCAAAGAAACCCTCCAAAACCACAGATCCTTGCATAGTGGATGGCATCATGCATGGGTTTGGACGTTTTGCATTTTGGGCGGACACATGGTGCACTCTTTCGCCCAGAACATCAATGCTCGTGCGGTCTTGATCAGTGGCCCGCCGGGCATCGGCAAAACGACGGCCTGCCGGGCGGCTCGCCGCGTCCGCGCGACCGGGGAACCCGCGGGCGACCGGCGCGCGACTCGCCCGGGGCGGAGACCGAGGTCGCCTGGTGGCCCAGCTGCACGGCGGCTATGAGGCGACGGGCTCGGGAGGGGTGGGGCGGTCGAATTCTGCGCGCGTGATGCGTGACTCTTGGATCAAGTCACGTGGATCAACTCTCATGATGAAGTGCTTTTACAATCCAAATGGGGGGGTTGGATCAATGAAGAGGATCGGCATACATTAGTATGCTTTGGTGGACTGGGCGCTGGATGTATGTGTCCCTGTCGTGTTGAGCATGCATTGGAGGTTCTGGAGTACAATGCATCGGATGCGCGTGGCCAGAAAATCATTCAGGACATGCAGCGACTGAGTCGTGTCATAGCGGCGAGTGTTTCCGCGTCTCTGAACATAGCATGGTATGCAGCTATGGCAGTATGCAGATTGCATTTTTGTTCCACTTGAAATGGACAGTCGAAGAGCAGGAGATGGCTCTTGGTATAGCGGACAATCGCACATTAAGCTTTGAGGCCAACAAAGCTGCGAAGGCACCACTGTGCATACTTTATCATTTATCATACTTTGACTTGCACGGCTGATCACGGCTGATGCAGTGGAGGTCCGTGCCGTTACCAGGAAGGCAGTCATCATCATGGATGAGGTCTTTCGTTGCTGGTCCGTTTACCGCTGATGTTCGAAGCTGCTTTGCGAACATGACCTGAAGAGGTGGACGGTATGGGTGCCGGCGACAGAGGCGGCATGGCTGCTCTCAACAGGACACAGTCACCACAGTCACCACAACCTACTAGCGATGGACTCCAACCTACTAGCGATGGCCTCCACCCGACCTGCTAGTGATGGCCTCCAAGCCATATTTGTATTTGAATCGATCCCAGCAGGATGGTCAAGAAGACCCGGAACCCTGTGATCTGCATTTGCAACGACTCGCACAGCCAGAAGGTAGGATGAAGGTAGGACGCTTCGAGAAAAACCGTTGGAATTTCCCGCGGAACGTTTGGACCGAGCTTCTTCGACCTCGTTGGAGGTGCGGTCTTTGTCGCTAGGAGCTCGAAGCTGTGAAGCTTGGCAAGTAGAAGCAATTTGCTGTGATCCAAGGTTTAACTGCTACGATCTCAAGTTCACACGGCCCGGATCTTGGAGAAACCCATGAGACGCCCATCACCTCATTTCACGTTGAGCCAGAGGCCGACTCGAACAACGGTGGCTCAGCGCTGTGCACCCTGGACGGATTCTTTTTGAGATTCTTTTTTTTCTAAAGCTGTTCTAATTTAGAATTTGGAATTGAAATATACTGGACGGCGACGGATTCGATCTTAAAGATGTATACTTTTAGCCTTTGGCTCTTTCGTATGCATGTTCGACCTGCGAGGCACAGATCGCAGCCAGCGAGGGGCTTCAGGCCAGGGAGTTCCGAAGCAGGGCAGAGTTCGAATCTGTCCCCCATGTCACCACTTCGACGTCTCACTTTCCGGCAAGACGGCAAGACCTTCCGTCCGAAGCAAACGCAGGGTGCCCAAACGCAGGCTCTTCTTTTCAATTTCAGCTTGAGGTAGAACCAAACGCGCTTGAAGCTCTTGCGGAGTGAGGACCTCGTTTTCGTTTTGCGTGCCCAGAAAACACGGTTTTCTTTGACTGAGCACAGATCCGAGTCTTAGCAAGTCTTAGGTCCTGTGGCAGCGATATGCGAATGGTGCCACCTTTCAGAATCTCTTAGTGCTTTGATCGTAGTAGAAGAGAGTGCCATAGGGCCATGCCATGCATTTTTGCTGTAAGCGGCAGCGGCATCTCCTTTCCGATGGCCCTTGGCTCAAACAGAGGAAACCCGGGAACCCACCCCCTAGGCCGACTCCATGGGTGGTTCGCCTCTCAGATCTGCTTCCCCACGCATCGGTCGTTCCAACCTCCGCCGGTCCGGCGGTGCGAGGTACCGTCGATCGCTTCTGGGCACAAGAAGGTTCCGCAGAGGCGGGTTACGGCGGAACCGGTTTGGTCGTTCCAAGGGGATGGCGGTGGCTTTGGGTGGGTGAACAAAGAGAGAACGGTAACTTTTTCTGCACGTGACAGACTGGAATGCTTGTGAAGGTTGGCCATGGATCTCTGAAGCAACTGCAGGGTTGGAGTCGTCAGGAGAGCCACGGGCGGTTTATGGAGTTCTTTCAATCCAAGACTTCCCTTAAAAGGTCTAAGAACCAAATCATTAGTGCGAGCGCTTTTTAGGGCGGCAGGGGGAGCTTCCTTGCAGAAGCTACCTAGCTACTACTAGCTACCTCAGTTCCTTACTTAATTAAGTAGGCGCCTACGGGAGAGGGCTAACAAAAATACATCGAAGACTTGAGATTTCTCTCGTTCTTGCAGAGTCCTCATCCGATGAGGACTTGCGATGCTCCTTCGAAACCTTTTCGTCGATGGGTGGCCACGCCGTCAATAGCAGGAGCGTTTCGTGTTCGAAAGATTTGGCATTGTGTGGATTGCAGCTGCAAGGCAATTTGGTCAGATAATTAGAAGCAGCCACTTTAGTGAGAGCAAGGCTTCTTGGTTGCAGATGAGGATTCCACTTTATTCTCAAGAAGTTGCCCTTGACCTAAAGCTGCACATGTTTCATTTACAATCTGAGGCTATGTTTGACTACTTGCTTGGGTCTGGAAGCCAGATAGTGGGAGAGGAGTTGATCGGATCTGGTCTCCGGTCCTCCGGTTGGTTTTCGTCCTAGGCCGGAACATGCCGAGCGCGGCTTGCTGGACTTTTGGTCTGTTATAGGCTGGAGACGGGTCAGGGCTTTCCAAGAGACGACGAGACGTGTGAAATGGGAGACGAGACGTGCCACTGCGCGTGAATTGAACAGGCCCCCCATATCCCATTGGGAGGTCCATGATGTTCTCACAGGTCCAATGACTGTGATGTCTGGGCAGCACTATATCTCCCGTGCATGGTGCTCAGTCCAACGTGAAAATGCAAGCTGCTTGCAGTTCGTCTCGCTGCGACCTTTTGATTGTCAGGTGACCTTTTTATTCAGTATCTATGACATGGATGGGGATGGCTGCCTCAACCTCTCTGAAATTGTCATCGCGGTGCAACTCTGAGTGTGTGTTCATTGAGCTTCACATGGACTTTTACTCACTCCAGTTGCATGACTTTCCAAGGTGAGAACTGTCTTCCGAGGTGCCATTATTGGACATGTTTGGGCAGCATTGATTAGTTTTGCAATGGATTTATCGATCATATCCTTTGTAGCATTGGCAAGATGTGAAACTGATTCCATTTTTCCTGAAGGCCTGGCACATTTTTGCCCAAAAGCTAGCGTGCCCGACGGACGACGCTTGGAACAGGTAGCCGAGGAGCGCTTTTTTTTTTTCGCCGCTCACTTGGCTGGAGTTGATTGCTTGTTTTTTGAAGCTAGTAGCTTCTTGTTACTACTAGCGTCCTTGTTACTACTAGTAAGGCACTTGCTACTAGAAGCGATGCACTTGTTACTAGTAGCGAACATCGATGCTACAGGAGATGTTCCAACGATTCGACAAGAATAGTCTGGGGCTCAATTCGACTGCTCACTTGCAGTCAATCCCTCTGGTGGGATGGAGAGTTTCAGAATTGGAGTCAAGGCTCAGGGATCTGCGGGAATTTGTGGTTGGGTTATTGTTGTCCCTCGCAGCTCAGACTCTGTGGTCATTTTCTGTCTGAATCCGACAAAATTGTGGCATTTTGCAAGCTCTAGAAACTGCTAGAAGACGAGGTTCAGGATTTGTGACCATCGAAGAGATGGTCAACTATGCCTATCGAAGCGAGGCCCAAGAACCGCTCCCTTCGCCCCATCCGTTCGCACCGCTTTCCGCCCGTCCGGCTCCACCCGTCCAGCTCACGACCCATCAACCAGCCCGCACAAAAAAGCTCCCGCGCTGGCGCCCGAAAACCGCCGCGCCGCGCTGGCGCGCGACTCGTCAGGGGCTGCTTCGCCTCTGCGAACCCTTCCCAGCTCATGAGAAGCACATCTTCGAGGATCCGCTTCGAACCGATCGTGAGATGGACATCTTGGGACCTCCGTCGGACATCCGGCCCCGGCGCCGTGCACAGGAACCCGTCCGTTTCCACTCCAAGTCCTCCAAGGCCGGGTGAAGAAAAGAGGTCGAGAGATGCGAACAAAGGGAACCCGTGGAGGTTCTCCGTGGGAACGTGTCGGTCCGTTTTTGGCCGCAAGAAGCACCGAGGCATCCACCAAAGCTGTTGGTCGGAGACTTACTGTGTGGAGCATCCGATGGTTTGTCGGAGGGCGTGTTTCTTGCTGTGTCTCAGATACTAGTAGCAATGCACTGGTAGCATCTAGTAGCTTTAGTGTTTCTTAAAGTGTCTCAGATGACCTTGATGTGATAGGAATGGAGCCCAAGCGTGGGAAGATGCGTGACCCTCATCAGAACCCTGCACGCACCTTTCATGCGGGTACCACAAGGCTGGACGTTGAATAGGCTCCAAAGTCCGCAAGCAAACCAAACGCCGTTTTGCACCGGGATGGAGGCAGAATTATGAGAAGCCGTGGCTTCAAGCAGCGTCTCAAGATGGATTGACCAAGGCATTTCACTGTTGCAACAGTTTTGTCTCATCTTATTCTTGTGCTCGTATGAGAGAATAATGTACCCGAAAGGGGCATCTTCCGCTCTGAAGGCTCATGCTTGGGTTGCTTGGATTTCCTTCCGCACGCTTGCCAGCAAGGCTGACCCCTCAGACCCTGGCATGCTGTTCTGGGCCCCCAAACCACAGCAAATAGGAGAAAGGCAGTTTTCATATGTTTTCATTCGCATGTGAGGGGTTTTGGGCGTTTCTTGTCAGTTGTCATGCAGCCACGCATTTTGCAGTCCTGCCGTCCGTGTCTGCAGTCTCATCCACATCTTGTCGACGGCAGAGATTTGGCAAACCTTATTGGTACAGAGCTTAAACATGCGAAAAGGCGAGCTTTTGATGCATAGCTTTCGAGTTTGGGAAACGTGCTTTGCTGTATTCTTCACTGCCGGTTGCATCCAGCAAAGCTGTATGTTCACTGCCTGGGGACATACAGCTTGCATCTTCGACTAACGGTGAGTTCAAGAATGTTCATATAATTCAGGTTTAAAAAAGCTGTATCCCAAAGAATCTCAGACGAACCAGTGGCTTGAGGCAGAGGACGTCCCAGAGTCTTTCCCCTGATCTATGCCGCCGTCGAAGAAAGTCCATGACTTACCTGTGATGAAAACACATGGACTGGAGGAATGGCAACTGACCCTTGGAGTCTGGGTGCTGTAACACACGGGACTCCTGGAAACGCGTTTTAGACACGTCTCTTCTCTTTCTTCTCCTTCTTCACCTTTTTGTTTCTCCGCTTCCCTTCTTCTTCTTTCAGCGTTGCCGTGATGAATGGCGTTCGAGACGCCACGGAGAAACCTAACGGCCCGGAGAAACCACCGCTCCGCCGAGGCAAGGGTGTGGACCGCTTCGAGCGATCCGACGAATTCTTCGCTTCCCGCATCGTGATGAGCGCCACTGGGCTGAAGAACGACGTGAAGAACCATCGGAGCTTCGAGCGCGGATCGCTTGTGGGCGGCTTTTTCGCTCAAGTCTTCTGAAGTGGTTTGCATGGGCTCAAAGAGGATCATGTGAATCTGAACGTGCCATTCTCTCCACTGAATTTGCCTTGGAAAGTGAGCCCAACACACATTGAGAGCACTGAGCCGCTCGGATCTGCCGAGGTCAGTCAGGCCTTGTTGGCAAAGGATACACTGGAACGGCTGCAGAGGACTTCCAGCTGTATGGAAGTGTGAATTTGTCTTAAAAGAAGGGAACCCATGAAACATCACTTGCAAATCAGGAGGAAACAAAGTATCCTGTAGATATATGAAAATGACATGAATAGATTGAGATCTTAAAGAACCGCCCGCTGCTCGGGAGATGTTCTCACTTTTCCAACGCACCGCGAGGAGGATGGCGACACCCGAGGTTGAATCCGCGTCACCTCCAGGCGTTGGGAACAGCGGCGGAAGCGGCCTTTCTTTGGATGGATGCCCAGCCTTCCCAAGCAAATCATGGTAGGTTGACATCCCTCAAAAGGAAGAATTCTGACCCGGGGGTTGAAACCAGGGTGTCCGGGTGCCATGAAACCAGAGCCATCATGATGCCATGCGTGATCCTGCTGCGAAACCCGCTGGGCATGCGTCACCCACCGGACATTTGATGGGTCTCAGAACTACGGAACGTACAACAAGAAGGCTTTGACTTTTTACATCCAACAACAACCTAAGAGCAATGGCCTCCAACCTACTAGCGATGGCTTCCTAATTGGATGAGAAGGAGCATGAAGGAGCCAAGTCGAGATGAGAATCTGTCATTGGTTGATGTCAGGTCACCTTGAATTGGTGCACTTTCTTGGTCTTCTCTGGCCCAAGGCTGGCTGTGTCTCAATGGGTTTTCTGTGAGTGGGGTGGTGATTGTCAATCTTGTTTGGCAAAGTCAGACTGAATGATTTTGCATGATTTGGCATGATTCTGAGTGAAAGTCCCATTTTGCAGAGTGCGCAAGCAACTGGGCGCGCTGTGCTCAGTTTGATCGCTCGAACGTAGCAGGCCAGTGAAGGTGCCATTCACTGCTGCCTGCGCTGGTGCCAAACCTTTCATGCTCATCAGGCTTCAAACATGCGTCCAAAAAAGAATCAACATGATTTAGCCAATATCAACACTGCCATGAATATATGCATCGCTTCTAGTAACAAGGTGCCTCGCTAGTAGTAACAAGGTGCCTTACTAGTAGTAACAAGAAGCTAGTATGTTACTTCCTGTCGTTTTCACTTCCTGGTGAGGTGTTGATTCAACTGCTGAAGGAGAAGAGAGCTTCCCTGCGCCAAAGCAGGACCGACAAAGGATGAAACGAACAGGGCAGAGCCAGGAGATCACCTGTCTGGTTGCGACAGCTTCCATGTCTTTTTTCGATGCGACTGTCGATTCCAGGTTGTACAGAGGTAGTGTGCTTTTACAAGCGGCGGAAGAGTCTCAAAGTGGAAGACGCCCTGTGAACTTATTGGATCACTTGGATCAGGCCGACCTGAAGGCAGGACATTCCTTGAGCACTGGGACCCACATTCTCAGATATACGTTTTCCTGGATTTGGGGGGGGGTGGTCCGAACATACGATGGGGCCCGCTGTGTGACGTGACGTCGATGGGCTGTGGAACATCGCTCTCAGATTCTTTTCGATGCGCTGGACATCGATGGCAACGGAAAGCTGTCGGCGCGAGAACTGTGTCTCCAAGGCCAGAACTGAGCTCTCGGGCGTTCCGCACGGGCGAAGCGAGAGAGCGAGGGAGAATGCCATCTGAGAGTGTTTCACATTGAGAAAACGATGAACAAAAACAAGTGCCTGTTTCGGGTGTTTTTTTGCAGTCAGAAGATTTGCCGATGGGTGCTGTGTGAAACCACGCAGGTGGGCTAAGTGCGAAAGAGGCACAGAGGCTGCTTCGTATTTGGGACCAGGAGTGTGTCCAAACGCTGGGAACTCCACCCACGACCAACCGCCAGACACATGTCGACCGTCGTCAGGACATCGACGGAGAACTCACTCAGACGGAGCTTGCAGGAGTTGTGTGTCTCGTCTCTGAGACTCTGCAGGGTTTGAAGCTGAACAGGAGTAGTAACAATAAGCTACTAGAAACAAGTGCGTCGCTTCTAGTAACAAGTGCCTTACTAGTAGTAACAAGAAGCTATTAGAATTAGGGTCATTCACCACGGTCCGAACGTGCACCCGTGTACTCGTCGTGTACTCATCGTGTACGTTCAGCCTCACTTTCCAAGGCAAGCGGTGGACTCGCACCTCAAACAACAAGTTAAGGTGAGGACGGCTCAAAATGCTTCAACTTTGGTTGTTGTGAACGTGGGTGATTCGTTTTTTTACTTTAGCTACCAAGGGGTACTCCTGTCTACCACTTGCAACTTCCAGTCTTGACCATGCCAGGGAATGTTTGCATCGCCACATCCTCCTGCTGCAGCGCTCTTATTTTGAAGCAGAGTTCAAGCTGACCACCCTCCCCAAGTACCCTCAGTAGTGGAAAAAGTCAATGAACGTTCAGGGGATAGAGGGCCCTCTCATTTCAATACACACTGAAATCGCATCGTTTAGTAAGGCATCCGCAACCTCAACGAGGACGTCCTTCAGACGACGACGGCGAAGTACAGCTGGCCTTCCCCCAGCCACAGCTTCAAGAGGCACAGTTGAGACGGCCGGGTGTGTACTAGAAATAGGGACTCCCCAAAGAACCGCGAATAAACATGAACTTAAAGCCCAGTGGTTGGAATGTCTCCCTATTCTCATATACACTTAGGATACGGTTCTGGATTCGACACCTGGGAATTTGTATTATCCGTTCCATTCGAGGTCCTGAAACCATGCTCTCCGGTCCCGCCACCTGAGTCTTCTCACGGACTCACGTTCCAAAGACAAGGACTCAACGATCCTGCAGAATAACACGCCGTTTAATCACTCAAACTCCGCCTCTTTTTTTTCGTTTCTTTTTTTTCTCGGACATCAAAGGACCTCATCTCGGAAGCCGCGGCAGCCGCTCCGCCCGCTTGTTCCGCTTGCTGCCGCGAGGTCCTCCCCCTCCGCCCGCACTCTTGACGCGCCGGCGGGGCAAGCGATGAGGCGCGAGGGGGGTGCGCGGTCGTGGCGAGGGAGGCGCCGGTCGCGTCGGTGAAATGGATGTTGTGAGCTCAGTCGGTGCCAGGCGCGGACGATTTCGGCACGCCAAAAGCGTTGAACGGTGGAGATGAGACCATTGAGTCCCGATGAGACGTGCATTGCGAGCTGCCCGTGGGTCCAAAAAGCCCCAGACATACCTAGTGAAAGCTTTTTCAACAGTTGTCAAATATGTCACATGTCTAAGAAATGGAACTGAGCGTCGGTTTTGACCCATAGCTAGCTGAATTCGAGGAACTTGACTGTGCGAAGATTCATTTGGACTGTACGCCCAAGGTGTATCGTCAGCAGCATAAACTGAGTGCTTTTAGAGAAGGAATGGTTCCTACTAAAGCCCTCAAACTCTGAGACCTTGCTTGAGCTGTTGATACTTTCCGGCTTGTTTCGTCTTCTGTGGCTGTGCACTGGCCCTGTGGCTGCTTGGAATTCATGGTGGACAAACGCGATTTGTCATGCCATCAAATGTTTGATAAGAGTCGCACACCGAATTGGTGGTCCTCTGCGAACGAGCACCAAACCAATTCACGAACCCAGACAGAGGCTGAATAGCTTCATTGGTCTTTTTCTTCCGAATGGCTTTTTGAAGGAAAGCTTTTGGATGTTTTTTCGGACTGCCAGAGGCAAGGGCCGAACTCGATGGCTGCAATGAACACTTCACAAAACAGTTTGGGATGGCTGGCTCTAGGCTTGCAGGAAGAGTTTGAGGCCCCAAAGGGCGTCTATGAAACATGCTTCGCTTATGATTGACTGCGCTTGTGATGCGGCGTTGTCCTGCACTGCTGGCACTGCTGGCACTGCTGGCACTGCTGGCACTGCTTGCCTGCGAGCCAGGTGCTAAATCAGCTTCAGATGCTGGCAAGGTCAGAGAGCTGTATGACCCACGGAGTCAACTACATGGACTGACGGAGTCAATGTCTTTGGGGGGAATGCTCAAGTGACCAATGGGATGAATGGAAGGGATGCACCTCTAGGTCGGTAAGAAAGCAGTAGTTTGACATGTGGTAATCGCAGTCAGCTCCGTCGTTCATGCTCAAAACCTGAAACAAGACAATGAAGGACATGAAGGAGAAGCTTCGCCAGATGAACAAAGATCAGGCTCCGCCGATGTTGTCTCAAAATTCTGGTGAGGCAGCCGGACCTTTTTTTTCCCTCTCTGATGATCTGAATGGTTTTTGAGCGCCTAAAAGGATGTTTTGATTGAACACCTGATTGAACGCCTATAAGCCTGTGGCCAGGAGATCATGCTGAGCACGTTCGATGCCTGTAGCTTGCATTGGATTGGATTCGATGTCCGTTCGATCTACGGTGAGCCTGGAGATTGATGGGAGTGAAGAAGAAGTTGTGGGCAGAGCCGAGGCGGCTCAATGTATATAGTTCAAGGATGTTTTAGGTGCATTGGTATATACAACTTGCTGGCAAGTCAGACGTGTAGTAGTTGTAGATCCAAACTGAAAGACACGCGCCTCAGAGAAAAGGATCAATACAGCAGACTATCAAAGCTGTCCGAAATCTTTTGCTTGAATCCTTGATCTGGTTCTGATCCGAGAGCAGAAGACTCGTTCTCTCCAAAGGTCCCATGCTGCGTTCCGTATCCCTTCGGCTCTTCCGACCCCTCCCCTTCGGCACTCCGCGAAGCGGACTGTTGACTCCATAGTTGCCTGAACCAACTTCCAATCAGAATGAGAGAAAAGGTCCACGTTTCCTCCATCTTGCCTGCTGAGTACCACGACCTCTTGACTTCAACTGATGTCACCGAACCAGTTCGACCCAGCCGAACAAGCTTGTCTCGGCGCGCCCGAGGCAAGCGGCTTCTGAACACCTCCGAGAGCAAAGGGCTTTCGTATCGAGATCGCCTTGAGATGGTGCCGAGCTCAACGCGACTCGACCGAAGCGGACTGCATCCTCTTTTGTTGCCGAGTTCTTCGTGGACCACTCCATCATGGGGCTCCTGGTGCATGAGAACTACTTGAACGCAGTGTCCAAGAAGCTCAAAGCTTAGGATCCTCTTGTTTGTATGGAACCGAGAGACGTCAAGACAAGTCCCTTCAAGATTTCGCACTCAAAACTAGGTGATTTCGTTGGCAGTGATTTCTTGCTCTTACGGGAAATTGTCACGCTGAGGCCCTGTGACGATGCGCTTTTGACGAAGTCGGACCCCAAGTTTCCGGGGGTGCCGAAACATCGATGATCAACCAGTCAATCTCCAACCTAAGAGCGATGGCCTCCAACCTACTAGCGATGGGTGATTCACCAACTCAATCTCCAGCTGTGGATCAGGTGTGCACAGTCTGCCGAGTTGATGGCTTATGGCGATGTCATTGGCGGCCGGATCCGGGACCAGCAGGACCCAGCCAGACACCTGATGGCAGTCGATGTGAATCTTGTTTTGGTGGCGGAAAGTAGGGGCTTGGCGGCCAACTCTGATCGTTGCAGGAGTGGAGCTTGCTTCCTGACTTGGGCCTCTTCTCGGCCGTTTATCCCGCCTTCTTGACCAACGGGCCGGGGCCTTTTTCTGGTCGTTGAGTGCTGTGAGACCGTCGGGCGGTCGGCGGTTGACAGTCCGCGACACGACTTCTGTCGGTTCCGCGTCACGATCGAACTGGCGGTTCCAACGAAAGGTTCGTGGCTTTTCCAAGCTTTCCAGCCTTCTTGGGCAAGTACTCCAGCCAGAGCAGGACCAGTTTGGGCGTACAGTTGGTGTAAAGTGATGGTTTGTGGCACTTGTGATTCGTGATGTGACTGCTTGGGCTGGTTTCGGGTATGGTCCAATCTGGGTCGGGTGAAGAGGCCCATGAAATGAGGCCCGTGAGGTCCGTGAGGTCCGTGGGGCCCGTGGAGCCCGTGGGGCTGGTGGAGTCCGTGGGGCCCGTGGAGACCGTGGTGGGGAAGATTTAGATTTTAAGAAATCATAGAAGCTAGGATGTGCAGGTGATGGTCTCTAGTTTCCTTTGTCGACGGGCCCGAACAAAGTAGCAGGTTCCAGGCTTGAGTGGGAAGCGCGCGTGAATGCACATGCCAGATTTGATGGGGGTAGCCACCGCACATATCAGCCTCAATGTCGCAATACACGCCAGAACATATGCCGCCAACACAAAAAGATCAACAAACAAAGGACAAGTTCAATCCACAGCCCCGAAAAGCATAGGGAGAACACAGCTTTTACCATCCTAGCCATTGCAATCTCACACAAGATCCCACGTGCATAGCAACGCGCAATGGCAAAATCACCATCGCCCGTGGCTTTTAGGAGCACGGACACAAGAAGCCACGGAAAACACAGAAGGAGAAGACAACTTTAACAATCGTAGCCATGGCAGTGCCACGCAACTTCCCATCATCACAACACCATCTCCTGCGGCTATTTCAAAACACGGACATAAGAAAAACTGGAACCAAAGCCACGAAAGAACATACGAGGAGAAGACAACTATAACAGTCGCAGCCATGGCACAGCACCTCCGCTGAACCTTTGCCATACGATAACACAGACACCATACCTTTGCAGCCCGTGGGGCACGTGAGGCCCGTGGTCCCGTGGTCCCGCGGATCCCGTGGGGCCGTGTGGCTGCTGGGCCCGTGGGGCCCGTTGGCCCGTGGACCGGCCAGCCCGTTGGCCCGTGAGGGCGGGCCCGTGGTGGGCCCGTGAATTGGATTGGACCCTTCCCGTGGCTTTTTGAGTGTAGTTCAATGGAAGGTGAAGAAGAATATGAAGAATATTTATTTGAGTATCAGGGCTGTTCTCTGATGCAGTGCTTTTGGATGTGTTCTTCTTTTCCCCGCACGCTTTTTGACAAACATTTTGTTTTACTTGGATCCTGCTTGAGATCCAAACTTCTTGGGCACTGAGTTCACTGATGAAGATATGGGTGCACTGAAATCACTGATGAACACGTTTCCCGGCTCTGGCCTAGAACGAGGCTCCAGGAACTCATCTTGGAGCCCATCGCCGCCGTTCTCACTGAAGCTTGGCGCCATGGCGCAAGGCCTGGTGGCCGCCCTGCGATTGGGATACATCAGCTTTGCAGCAGGGATCTACACGAACAATCCCATTTGCATTAAGAACAATTGCGCCTTGGCGAAGACTTTCTGCCTCTTTTTGGGGAAGTCTTGTGGGAGTAGAAGTCCTGTGTGGAGAACCAAAATATACACACACATATACATATATATATATATAAGAAATAATCTAAGAAATCCATGATGATCGCCCGCAGTGAAGATCTCAGTGATCTCAGGCATCAATCCCATCTTTCCCGGCTTGGAGGACCTCCATAGATTGGCCAACACCACCAAATGGTATTGCACCAGCATGGAGGATACGGCCCTGGCCATTGGATTCTGCAAGGGAGCCGTGAATTACCACATCGCCGTCCCTGAGCCTCAGGTCCCAGATGAGTCCAGCGTCCAAGCGCTGGTGCGAAAGCAAGACCGGGCGGCGAACACCGCCTACTTCGCACACTTGAATGGCCTGGGCAAGGATCCGTGGGAGCATCCGGATCCCGAGAACTCCGACGATTGCATCCGGAGCATTTGGAAGATGGTTTGCTACACCTACTTTCCTCGAGCTGAACCTGGCTGTGCGCGTGGAAGCTTGATGGAATACATCCGACCGTGCCAGAGCTCATGTGCCAACTACATCAATGCTTGCTCGGTGGAGTGCTGCGACGAGTCGGTGCAATGCGTCTTTACTCACCAGAAGAAGCTCACGAAGACCACGGTCTTGGCCACCTCCGGGTATGAACCTCATGATGGGCCTTCATCCTTCTGCACCGGAAGCGCACACCGCAGCGGTGGTTTTGGTCTGGCTCTTCTCCTGGCTGTCTTGAGCTCCTTGAGCGGCGAGACCTTCGGCTTCCGCTTGCGGTCGCGGCCCAGCGTGGTTTCCTTTGCTGTGCTGGGCGTTTTTCTTTCAGTGGCTCTTCAAGGATGTGATTCAGCCGTGGTACAC